CATTAAGTGGCTTTGGCCTTGAGGGGAGCACACCCTTGGCTGGTGCAGAGCAAAGCTAGCTGCTCAAGTCCATTGAAGCTGAGGTAACACTTCCATCATGTTTGTTTTTCTCCAGATTTGGGTAAGCAGCATTAGTCAAGTCAGGGTTTTGTTTGTTTGGTTTTGTTTTGTTTTTCTGAGGCAGGATCTCACTGTGTAATCCTGGCTGGCCTGGAACTCACTGTGTAGACCATCCTGGCTTCAAATTCACAGAAAGCCATATACCTCTGCCTTCTGAGGACTAGAATTAAAAGATGTGCGTCAGGATGCCCAGACAATAAATAATTAAAAGTTAAAATTTAATAATTTAAATAAATAAAGTTAAAAATAGGTAGCTGTGGATCTCACTGCAGATTGCTTACAAACACACTCAGAGCCCTGGGACTCAGCACCAGGGAAAACCAACATAACAACAAAAACTTAAAAATAAAATAATTTTTTAAATTTAGAAATTAACATAAAAAATATAATCTTCCCATTTTTTGTTTGTATGTGTGGTTGGTTGGTTTTTGAACCCCCTGTGTAGACTAGGCTGGCCTCCCAAATGCTGGGATTAAAGGCCCAGTATTTGTTTTTAATTTATAAACTCTTATTGTTTTAAAAAAATCTTACAAGTAACTAAAATCATTACATAATCACTTCCTCTCTTCCCTCAAATCATTATTCGTGTATATATATATATATATATATATATATATATATATATAACTTGTATTTCCTTTTAATAGTTCAAGTTCTGGCAGAGAGCCCACGGCACACTCAAATGCCCTAACAAAAGTACAGATGGGGCTGGGGCAGTGAACAGTGATTGTGGGACAATCCCACCCCCACTACCATGGCAGCATGAAGAAGCAGCTGATTAGAGGGCCTACCTGAACCTAGGAATAACCAGAACTCTAGAATCTCAGTTGGCAGAGTGATCACCTGGCAGGAATGGCCACTTCGGAAGAGAAATGTAACCACACACAGCTGTGGCCTGCCAGAATGGGAGCCAGGGGAATCAGGATTTTCTCCTGCCTGCTGCCTCCTCCCATTACCTCCCATTGGCCACATCCAACCAGAAACCCACGGGCAGAAGCCCGTTGATTCTATGCATGGAGCCAGCCTTCTGGGGCACTGAGCAGGGTGGAGGACAGAACAAAATGGCCTGTGGGGTCAAACAGGGCAGATCAGGAATTCCCTGAGGAGGTGGGAGCCTATGGACATGATGAGCTGGCTCAGTGTCTGAAGGCACTGGCTGTCCACCCTGTCCACCTGCTCAGTCCCACACAATAAATAAGATGTGATTTGCAAACAGTGTACAGGGCTGGAGAGGTGACTGCGGTTAGAGCACTCGCTGCTCTTGAGCCCTGGGTTCTGTTCCAAGCCGCACCTGCATCAGGCAGTGCACAGCTGCTTCGAGTGCAGCTGTAGAAGATCCAGTGCATTTTTCTGGCGTTGTCGGACACCTGCACACCCCCAGTGTACACACAGGCAAGCAAGCCCACGTGCATAAATAAAAACAAGTTCTTTTCAATAGGAAATTAGAGAATGAAAAGCATAGCTTCATTTTTGGTATACTTGGTACACATGGAATGGTAGCCACTACTTGTCTGTTGGCTGTGTTAAAACACTGTGACTAAGGCAACATTTGGGCTTGTGGTTGCAGAGAGCTAGGGTGCATGATACTGAAGTGAAGGCAGGAGAAAGAGGCTGAGGGCTCACATCTTGAACCACAAGCATAAAACAGAGAGAACACACTTGGAATGGAACCAGGCTTCCGAGACTCAAGACCCTCCCCCAGAGACATACTTCCTCCAGCAAGGCCACGCCTCCCAAGCTATCTAAGAACTCTATCAATGGAGGTTGGGGGACCTGCATTCAAACATCTGGACCTATGGGGGACATTTGCAGTCTTACCACCACAGGGGTTCATTTAACTAATCCCCATTATCAACCTCAAGATGAATCTAAAGGCTGGTATGACATATAACATACTTTTGTGTGTATGCTATAGTTGCAATAGGAAGCCTCTCTGCACACACCCTTCCTCACACGCCTATCTTGAAGGCTTGGTCTGCAGTCGGTACATCCAGTCACTCGGAAGACTTTGCCTTTTCCCTCTTTTTCTTCTGTCTTATGACCCATTGGGTTTAATTAGTGCTGCCCCACTTTGCATGGGTGTGGGGCCATCCACTATAGTGTGGTTAGACCACGTCAGAGCCACACACTTAAAGAAGACGGGCTCTTCCCTCCTCCGGCAGCCATCAGCTGTCAGTAGCTTCTCTGCAAGAGGTGGGGGCCCACCCCTGTTGGAGTGTTGACTGGCTTGACTTGTGCAAGTCTTACACAGCACACAACAGCTGTGACACCATGAATGCAGCGGTCTTGTCGTGTCCGGAAGACATTGTTTCACTGTGGCTGTGGTCCTCCACCCCAGCCTCTGGCTCTTAACAGTCTCTCCCCTCCTGCTTCAGAGATGGTCCTGAGCGGCATGGGGAGGGGTGTGATATAGATGCCCCACGTTTGGCGGAGCACACCTCAGACATTTACTCTCTGTACTTTGACCTGTTATCAGTTTCTATACTGACTGCCGTCAGCTGCACAAATAAGCTCCTCTGATGAGGCCTGAGAACAGCACTGCTCTGTGTATATAGGAATAGGAGCTTGGAGGGCAAGCATCAGTTTCTATAATCAAATGCTTCAATGCAGACAATCCAAAGATAAAGTAATCTGATATTTACATGATGAGGATGAGAATAGGAACACTTTATTTTACATAATTGAGCCATCTGTTTCTGTAGCAGCAGCAAACTACATACAGTAAACATCATAGCATAATGGTCTCAAGTCTGGGCGCAGCATTAGGTGGAATGACAGCATGCACAGAGTGTGTTTACACAAAGTCTACAGGAAAGTTAGGCATGCAGCGTGGGCTGGGGCCCCCAGAAACACCCCAGAATTATTGTGCATTTGATAGTGAATTAATTTTGGTCATTGTGTATACAGCAACGGTGTACTGGGCTGATAAGGTAGCTCGGTTGGCGAAGCGCTTGAAAGAACTTTAGCTCGAACCCCCAGAGGGAACTGAAGGTATAAAAGCTAGGCTCAGTGGCTCACTTGTAACCCCAGTGCCGAGGGAGCTCCTCGAGCTTGCTGGCCAGCCTGCCTAGTCTAAGTTCTAAGTTAGAGACCTTGCATCAAAAGATAAGTGGGTGATGCCTGAGAAACAGCACCTGAGTTGTCTTCTGACCTCTATACACATGTGCCTTCATGTGCACACACGCATGTCCCCACACAGTAACACACGCACCAAAAAGAAACTCTTTGCTATTGCTAACTTATCCCAAATTAACTTTCCCTGCATGTTGCGTGACTGCAGCAAAGAGCTACATGTTAACCAGTGGGCATCGATTATACTAAGACTTTGTCCCCAGGCAGTGGGCTAGGTCTGCAGGTAAGGACAGTTGCCCACCTGAACCTAAGGACCTGAGTTTGACTCCCGGGACCCACATGGTAAAAGCAGACCCCTGACCTCCGCATGTACATCATGGCATACCCTCTGTCTTAGTCAGTGCTTTGTTGCTGTGAAGAGGTACTGTGGCCATGAAACTCTTATAAAAGAAAGCGTTTATTTGGGGCTGGCTTACAGTTTCAGAGACTAGTCAGTGTCATCGTGGCAGGAGCATGGCAGACATGGTGTTGGAGAGGAGCTGAAGTTCTACACTTGATCCATAGACAGAGAGAGGCAGAGAGACTGGGTACTTTTGAAACTCAAATCCTGCTCTCAGTGACACACTTCTAACAAGGCCACCTCCTAATTCTTCTTAAATATGAACTGAATAAAACTTCATTCCAGGAGAACTGGGGAATGTAGTTGTCTTAGGGTTTCTATTACTGTGACCACAACAACTCCTATAAAGGAAAACGTTTTTTGGTGCTGGCTTACAGTTCAGAAGTTCAGTCCATTACCATCATGGTGGGAAGCATGGTGGCATGCAGGAAGATAACGGCCCTGGAGAAGGAGCTGGGAGTTCTGCAAGATGGAGACTGAGACTCTGTCTTGGCTTGAACCTCTTCAGCATCAAAGCCCACCCACAGTGACACACTTCCTTCAAAAAAGCTGCACCTCCTCCAAAAAAGCCACGCCTACTCCCACAAGGCCACACCTCCCATCGTGCCAGGCCCTTTGCACCTATGGGGCTGTGTTCTTTGAATCTACCACGGTAGTGCAGTGGTGGAGCGCTTGCCTAGCACGTGCAAGCACACCTGAGTCCCATCCCAAGCCCTGCAAACATTTAAAGATGCAGTTCGGGGCATGTGATGCCAGTAATTCTGTGACACCTGCTGTAATGAGTGATTGTCTCTGATTCGGGTCTGCTGGCTCCTGCCCATGACGTCACTAAGGCATCATGGTCATCTGTAAGGGGTTCCATTACTATTCGTATTCCGTGATCAAGAGCACGGTGGTTGACAGGGCAAGTCCACATGGTGGTCTCAGTCACTGTGCTGGGAGGCTCTTGAAAATGCTAAGCCCTCACTGGAGAGTGCTGTGTGGTTGCGCGTGTGCTGGGGTGAAGGCTGGCTTCTGGAGCAGCTTCCAGCTCGATTCACTGGAACTTCCTGTAACTTGGAGAGTATGAGCAACATCCATCTTAGGGGATTAGATACCTGCCTAGGATAGTGCCTTACCCTACCAAGCACTTAGTTAATATTAACCACTGCCAGGGTGACCCCAGTGCCCATGGGGACCTCCGTGAATGTGATTAAAATAAGCAACAAAGCTTAGTTCTCATGAAGAAATGGAAAGGGTCTGACCTTGCAGAGCCCTTCACCAGCCGGGAAAGTCCCAGGATAGAGGATTCGGTTGTCAAGAGCACGAGGGGCTTTTCTAATGAAGGCACGAATGGGCAGGGGTGACAAGGAAGTAACCGCGGATGGGTTTGTTTGCATTGTGATGTGCTGTCCTCCCCTCTCTGTAGAACTCCATGAAGGTGATGTTCAAATGCCTTTGGAAAAACTGTGGCAAGGTGCTGAACACTGCAGCAGGCATTCAGAAGCACATCCGGGCCATCCACCTCGGGTAAGGTAGCCCACCTTCCGCCTGGAGCCAGGGGTAGCCCCCCAGCCTGGCCCCAGCACCTCAGCTGCCAGATACTGCACACTACACTGTGTCCCAGGCTCTTACTGATCCCTGGTAGAGGCGAACTCTGCTGAGGGGCAGCCACCAAGTCACCCGGCTGCAGAGCCTCCCTAAACTGCTTTCTGAGTCACCTTAGGCAAGTCCTCACTCTGATCCCTAGGTCCTCCTAAAAATCATCAGTCAAGTCAGTATTGCCTCTGAGGGTCGAATATAAACGTGTAGAAAAGACACAAAGTGTAAAGCACATCACATGGGCTCCTCCCCTGGGAGCGTGCATCAGAGGGTCCTTGAGCCCCTAGTGTCTGTAAAATGAGGTGCATTCTTTTTGCAATGGCTGATGTTCATGACTTAGAACCTCCAAAGCTACTGTCACTCTAGGAAAGTCCCCACCCCCAAGGACAGATGGGGAAAAAAATCATCACACCTTTGATGATAAAGCCAGATGTGGTGGACAGGCTCAGTCTGTTGCTCAAATAAGCTGTTTCCTTCTTAGGCTGTAAGAACCTTCCTGCAGACAGACAAGGTCGAGGTTAGGAGCATGCAGCCCAGCTCACAGCCAGGGCGTGGCGGGACAACTGTCCATGCTTTGGTCCTGAGTCTGTCTTGTCCAGGTATCTGAGGTTTAGAAGGGAGGCTGTCACCAGTGTGCAAAGGCAACACCTCAGTAGGTCTGTGTGCTCAACACAGAAGGGTTCCTTTAGCAAAATGAATGTGGAGGAATAAGTCACCTTAGCAGAAGGGAGCACACTCAGGAAGTGTGTACTCTAAAGGTGGGGTAGGCAGATCCTAACAAAGGTGACTGCAGTCAGTGCCCTGTCAGTGGCTCTGAAGAGGAGCACAGAAGAGGCTCCCCAAGTCTTCAGGCAGATGTCTGGGATACACTAAAGCTCTGTAAAGCAGGGTGCCCATAAGGTCACCAAGCTCTTACAGTCACCTTGGTGAATCGCAGTTCACCATCCTGCCAGCCATTGCATGGGAAAGGACCTCCTGAAAGTCTATAGGACCTCAAGCCCTGAGCCTGTGCTTTCTCAGGGACTGGGAGGAGGTAGGGCCTTCACATTATCCCATGAGCCCAGTTATGACACTGTTGGACACTGGCCTCGTTAGTAAGCAGTGGTGGGGAGGCATGTCAACCCCACCCAAAACAGCATGCCCCGCATCCGATGAAATTTCAGACATACCACACGTAGTCTTAAAAAATGCACGGTTTTTCTCCTCAGCCCTAGCCTTCAGGGACTGACCCTCATCTGTCTCCCTGGAGAGTTCATGATTTCCCTCAGGTCTGGGTACTATTAGTAGCACTTGGCAACCAGCAGCAGCCAGCCTGCCTGTGACTGGAAAGGAAGCAGGGACAGGAATAGAACAGGCACTCATTGCTTATCCCGCTCCCTGGGGTCCTCAATGGCATGCCTGTCAGAAAGCCAAGCCCCATGTGGCCTGCTATGGTGCAGAGGCAGCTCTGCAGATGCCAGCACTGTGGAACTTAGAGGAAATGGAGCGAGGCTGTGAGAAGCCACTCATCTGGCCAAGCCGAAAGGCTGAGGGAGAACACTTTATTGTAGGTCTATATAGGGATTCTTAAAGGGGAAACAAGTTTTCAGTCAGCAACCTCTGGCTAGTGCCACATGTGCCCATCAACTGAGGGATGCCTCTGGCTCTCAGCCATTCCAGAGTGTTGGGTTCTGGGTACATAGTTCTTTGGAAATTAGCAAGACTGGTAAATGTTGAGTCACGGCAGTTACTTAGCTAAAAACTTTCTGTGAGCAAGCACAATTTTCTTCCCCTTAAAGAAGTTTAAAGTCTCTGGGATAATAGTCTTCTAGTAGGAGTGGTGAGGGACGCTCTGGAACTTAGTTCCTCTCTATAGTTACTCCATCATAAATAAAGAAGTATCCATGCATATTCATATGCTTACTCTATCATACAATAAATAAGGGTTCTTGTGATCCCAAGTTATAACTTAAGATACCAAGGCAAGGTGCAGAACCAGAATCACATTCAGTGTGTCAGCCTGAAAAATCCAATTCCAGAAAGTATGGTGTCATCCACCACGCCACAGCAGCCTTTACCACTCATTCACGCTGCATTTGGTAGGTGCCTACTCAGTGCCAAATATGCTGATCGTATATGGAGCGGTACAGAGACCAACAAAAGCCAGCCCTGGAGAGCTGGAGTCATAGGGAGAAGACAGAGGTTTCCAGAGCCCAAAACAGGGCTGGAGAGATGGCTCAGTGAAGAGTATTCTGAATATGCACTGATACCCAGGAAATGGAGGTACCCTTCTGGGTTCTAAGTTTCATTATTAAAATAATTCAAAAACAGACTAAACGGGAAGCTTGAGGGCCATTTCATTAGAATTTAAAATGACCCAGGACAGGCAAGTTGTAAACTTGAGCAGCTGCCTAGAGAAAGTGAATGGGGGATTAGAAAACAAACAGAAGCCATGCCATGTAAGTCAGCATAGATGGCAGCCATCTGGGTGCAGGCAGCCACATAGTAAAAGAGGGAGCTCTAGAGGAAGAGTGAGGGAGCCCAATATACCGGAAAGGCACACTTAGTTTCTGCATCTAATGAGAGAGGGGAAAAAAATAAGGAAACGTCAGGATTCAGAAAGTTGGGCAGACCCTGCAGACCCTCGTGGTGACTTGTATGGACTGAACTCATGTAGGAATTCTGGGAAGGAAAAGTACACTATTCCATTATAGGGCTAGATGTGGTGGAACAAGCTTTTAATTCCAGCCCTCAGGAGGCAGAGGCAGGCAGATCTCTAAGCATTTGAGGTCAGCCCCACTCTACATAGTGAATTCCAAGACAGCTGGACTATATAAAGAGACCCTGTATCCAGGAAGGAAGGAAGGAAGGAAGGAAGGAAGGAAGGAAGGAAGGAAGGAAGGAAGGAAGGAAGGAAGGAAGGAAGGAAGGAAGGAAGGAAGGAAGGAAGGAAGGAAGGAAGGAAGGTCTTTAAAGGAATATATATTCCATTCACCTCCTTTACATGGGTCAAGGCGAGCCTTGCAGTCTTGTGTTTATCGTATTTATCCTGCAACAGTCAGCTATTTGGAGGTCCTCATTGGCTTCTGCTGTGATTTAAACGTGCCCACCACCAATACTGTCTGAGGGCAATGTGATTTCCAAACTCTTGTGTTAATGGTGTTTAGAAAGGGGGTCTTTGGGAAGCAATCAGAATTAGGAGAGGCAAGAGGATGTGGGGGCATGAGCGGCTCTGAAAGAGAAAAGCAAGTTAATAGATGTGGTTTGTCTGACCGTATCAGGTTCAGACATAGTGAGGGAACCCTCACCAGATGTTGAACAGATGTCTACATATGGACATAGATTCAGCATCCAGACCATGAGCCAAATAAACTTTCATTCCTTTCATTTACTTGGCGTCAGGTATTACACCTCAGAAAATAGAGTAAGACTTCTTAGAGCAATCTTTCTACCACACTCCCATCCATCAACCTACCAAACTACCTACCTACCCATCCATCTACCTACTACCTACCAATCCATCTACCCATCCATCCACCTACCACCTACCTATCCATCCATCTACCCATCCATCAACCTACCTACCTACCCATCTACCCATCCATCCACCTACCACCTACCTATCCATCCACCTACCTACCAATCCATCCATTTACTAGTCTGAGAATCATTATCGAGACTGTATTACATATAAAACATTCTACCTCCTAACATAGACTCTGCCTTGATGGAAATTTTTGTTTTGGGTTTGGTTTGGTTTGGTTTGGTTTTTGGTTTGGTTTTTGTATTTTTCTTGAGACAGGGTCTCTGTATAGCCCTGGCTGTCTTGGAACTCACTCTGTATACCAGACTGGCCTCGAATTCAGAAACCTGCCTGCCTCTGCCGCCCCAGTGAGTGCTGCAATTAAAGGAATTGGCCTCCACCACCAGACTTGATGGAACCTTTATAGTTTAGAGGCAGACAAGAAATCCCTAACAAACAGCCATTTAGTATATGAGACTTTGCTAAGTCCCAGTAAGAAAGATTAAGCAATATTTGAGAGTCCTTAATTGAGGTCAGTGGTGTTGGGGGTACTGATCTTTACACAGGATGGCAAGCAGACTTTGCATGCTGGGGCTTTGGAGGAAAGCACGGAGCCTATGGGGGGTGGCCATGGTTAAATCCTAGCAGAAGCCAATGAGGACCTCCAGATAGCTGAGTGTTACAGGATAAACATAAGCCGCAAGGCCGACAGAGAGGAGCGTATTCCAGGTTGAGGGGAAGTATTCCTTTGAGATGGAGGCAAGCGGACAGATCACTTAGCTTTGCTCTCCCCCTCCCTAGGCGAGTTGGGGAGTCTGACTACAGCGATGGAGAAGAGGACTTCTACTACACTGAGATCAAGCTCAACACGGACTCGGTGGCTGAGGGCCTGAGCAGCATGGCCCCACTTTCGCCTTCCCAGTCCCTGGCTTCACCGCCTACGTTTCCTGTCCCAGACTCCAGCCGAACAGAAACTCCTTGTGCCAAAACAGACACCAAGCTGATGACACCGCTGAGCCGCTCAGCACCCACCACCCTCTACCTCGTGCACACTGACCATGCCTACCAGGTAACTCGGCAGGGCCCTTGGTCAGAAGCAGTAGCCGTCAGGCCTGGGACTGCAAGATAACTCAGTAAGAATAGCACCGTGCATGGCAGCCAGTAACTGGGTTTTTTTTTTTCTATTTTTCCTCTTACTCATGATCTCAAGCCGTAAGTGGGTGAGGCAGGAGGATCATGAATTTGAGGCTATAGCTGGCCTACCGAGATTAAGGGCAAACTAACCTACGTAGTTGAGACCTGATCTCTAAAGCCAAACAACAACAAAAAGGGTCTGGTGTTCCAGGGCTGTACTCTTGGTTACTCAGGAGGCTTAGCAGGAGGACCACAAGTTTGAAGCCTGCTGAGGCAACAGAGCACATCTGTGGCCATCCTGGGCAACTTGGTGATACCCTGCCATAAAAGGAAAAGCAAAGGGGTTGGAATGCAGCTTAGTGACATAAAGTGCTTGCCTCATTTGTTTAGTCTTCAGCACCACTAGGGGCAAAAGTCATGATCTCATTCAAATGGACCCTACAGATTATTCTTGGGTTCCCAGAGCCAGCTGAAGATCCATTCCCTTAGGAGTTGTTAAAAGGATAAGAATCAGGGTCTGGAGAGATGGCTCAGCGCTTAAGTGCATTGCCTGCTCTTTCAAAGGTCCTGAGTTTAATTCCCAGCAACCACATGGTGGCTCACAACCATCTGTAATGAGATCTGGTGCCCTCTTCTGACCTGAAGGGATACATGCAGGCAGAACACTGTATACATAAAAAATAAATCTTAAAAAAAAAAAAGGATTAAAAATCCTTAGCAGTGTAAAGCCCTCAGATTAGTTACTGGCATAGCTGACAAGTGTCCAATACGTGAAAATTAAGCCAAGAGTGGCAGCACGCACCTTTAGTTCCAGCATCTGGGAGGCAGAAGCAGTGATCTCTTTGAGTTCAATGCCAGCCTGATATTAAGTTCTAGGTCATCTAGGGCTACTTAACGAGATCCTGTTTCAAAATGATGAAGTCAAGGGGCTAGCAAGATGCCAGTGTATAAGGGTTTACCACCAAACCTAAGGAAGAATTCAATCCCTAGGACCTACATGGTATAAGGAAAGAACCAACTTATGAAAACTGTCTTCTGGCCATCCACATGCCACACATGTTTGTTTGTTTGTCTTTTGATACAGTGTCCCTCAATATCCCTGGCTGTCCTGCGACTCACTAGACTAGGCAGGCCTTGAACTCACAGAGATCTGCCTACCTGTGCCTCCCAAGTCCTGGGACTAACAGTGTATGCCACTGTGCCCAGCTAATTTAAAAATTTTGGTAAACATTAAACTGAGTGAAAAGTCGAGCCTTGCTTGGCAAGCTTTGGAGCAATGTACTGCGTAGCTGGGATCTCAGCATCTTCCGCTTCTAAGTAGGTAGCTAACCCTCTCAGAGTACAGGTGACTGCCAATGTTCCCTAACTCAACAATGTCAGCACTCCCAGAAGTTGTTCCAGATGGAAATTATTTGAGCACTACCCACACAAACCTACTGGTTGTAGCTGGGACCCCAAAAGCTGAGGGCTTCGAAATGCAGACTGAGGCTACACCAGCAATTGCAGCTACCTCAGGCAACTTCATAAAAATCTTCCTTGCGTTTCTCAAGTTACATTCCCCTACCTATTTCATAAAAAATCCAAATAACTGTATATTATCCAGTTAAATTCAATTGAAATAGTTACTTTAATCATTCTGATCATTTATGTGACTGTCTACGGTGGTTTTCTGCTTGTAACCAAATGGAGCTGGGCATGGAGACATCCTCGGCAATGTAACAAGTTTGAGATTAGTCTAGGTCACATGAGACCCTGTCTTTAAAAAAAAAGTTGAAAAGCAAGAAAGGAAGACTAATATGAACATTCTCTGTCTTTTTTAACTTTCATTTTAATCCTCAGAAGTGTCATTATTACATCACCTGGAACATGAATGAAGAGTTTATGGGCATTTCTGTGTATTGCCAAAGTATGTCCCAGTGGGGCCAGGTTCAAAACCACTGTAACTAGCTGAAGTAGTTGTAATACGGAAAAAAACAAAAAACTAAGCCTGGAGAAGAAAACTGCAGTCCCTGAATTTACAGAGTTGATTTTTGTCATCTCAGTTACATTTATTTGCTCAATTTTAATTTTTCTATTAAATTTTTATTTTGCATGTATGTACATGTATATGCACACACATTTGACACATTGCACATGTAGAGATCAAAGGACCTTCCACTCTGTGGCCCTGAGGATTGAACTCAGGTCTTCAGGCCTATCAGGAGGCACCTTTACCTGCTAAACCATATCGCTGGCCACGTCTCTAAGCATGTTATAGTACATGGTTGTGCGGTGCACATTACTGTATACATTTTCTTAGAACCAACCCTTAGATGTGAGCTGTATGATGGGCAAAACAATGAGAATTTTAGTGATTATCACTAAATTACACTAAAACATTTATAGCTTACATGTACCCATTTCCAAATTTATTGTTCAGATATTTATTTCCTAATTTGATACTCAAGATTTACGTGCATATGTCCAAATATAGGTAGATGTGATTAAATTTCAGCAACTGACAGCCAAAGGCCTTTTCCTATATCTCAGGTAGGCTGCTTATATGTATACGAAAGGCTTATTTCTGGCTACTCTCTTTGACCTTGTTTAGTCTCCGCCTTTTAGCGTACGTTGCCAGAGCAGCCCTGCCTGTCCCTGCAGCCCAGCTTTGGTAAGACACTGTGGACAGTTACTCTTTCATACAGCCTTCTCTGCTTCCTGTCTCATAGGCCACGCCCCCAGTGACTATTCCGGGATCCGCTAAGTTCACCCCCAATGGCAGCAGTTTCAGCATTTCCTGGCAGTCACCTCCAGTCACTTTCACCGGCATTCCTGTAAGTACCAAAACATGGTAAGGTGAACCAAGCCAAATGCACATTTAAAAGAACAAGTCATAGGATCAGACACGAAAAGGATGGAGTCAGTGCCGAAAAGTACTACCTGTTTCTTCTCTTTCCTTTTTTGAGGTGGTATGTCTCAAGTAGCCCAGGTTAGCCTTGAACTCTGTAGAGTCAAGGATGGCCTTTGAACCGCTGATCCTCCATCCCAAGTAGCCCAGGTTAGCCATGAACTCTGCATAGTCAAGGATAGCCTTTGATCCTCTACTTCTCAGATGTTGGTATTCCAGGAGGACACCATCACATCTAGTTTCCAAAGGCATGTGCTTCTTTCTCTCTTTCTGTAAGATTTTCTTTTTTTATTTTATCTGTATGAGTGTTTTGCTTGCTTGTATTTCTGTGTACCACATGCATGCAGTGCCTGTGGAGACCAGAAGGGGGCATCAGACCCCCTGGAACTGGAGTGACGGATGTGGGCCACCATTTGGGTGCTGGGAATCAAACTAGGTCCCCTCTGGAAGAGCAACCGGTGCTCTTGATGGATGAACCATGTCTCCAGCCCCAGGTAATAGTTCTAAGTGACATTTGAGGACTCATCAGCAAGTTGTCTTGTGATCCAGATAGGTGCTGCTTCTCTGGGAAAAGATGTTTTGACTGACATTTTAGAAAACTAGAAGAGAGTGTTAGCTGTTGAGGTTGGAAATGTATTTTGTGTTGATGCTATAGTTATATTTCCAAAAGACTGTAGAATTAGCAGCGTGGTTCACACTTCGTACGGTAAAGCTGATGTTTACCATCACAAATTACTTCATGAGTTTTGTTAGCTTGATGTTATTGTCCTGGAGTTGTGCTGTTTGAAGATCCAAAAATTAGATAAATTGAAATCACTTTTTTCTTTCAAAGCCTGAGCCAAAAAAAAAAAAAGTTAATGAATGCTGAAAGTGCAACCATATTTAGGTAGTAAATAAAAATTAATGCTAAGTATTAAATGATTCTGATAAGCTCCTGTGGATTAGCTTGGCTCCTAGCAGTTCATTTTAAAATATTCTGGGTCTTACATGGTTTTCCACAGAAAAAGCTCCCTGCACAGTAGCTGTGCTCACGGCGGTATGAATCCTGATAAGCTTCAGAACTGGGCTCCCAATAGCAGATGTGAAAACCTTATTTTTCTTCCCCATTCCACCCCTCCCACACTTACACAGACACCCCACAAAAGCAGCTCCTTGGCAAGTTCCAGAGTTCCCAGCTTATACGGATGAGTGACTGGGCGAGCTGTGTTGTACTCTGCCTGTGAAGGTTTACCAAAGCCGGTAAAAAGAAGTTGCTGACGGTGGATTGCCTCCTGCTGACAGCACCAGGGGTCGTGGCGCACAGATAACACTCTTGTGAATTTCAAACACTACCATAAATATGGAATAATCACTAGAACCACTGAACACTGGTGGCCCCTAGCCACACTCAAGGAGTGACCTGGGACATTCTTGTGTTAGCTTTGTTGGTGGCACAAACATTGATCCACTCATGTGACCATTGGATATGAGCCATTTCCTCTGAGGGTATTCCCTTGGTAGACATAAAAACGCCCAGAGTGGCTTGCTGCTTTCCATTTGCCACTAAACCATCTGTGGTGACTAGTGTTGCCAGTTTGACAGCATCTAGAATTACCTTGGAGACAGGTCTCTGGATGTGCCACCGGGAGATTATCTTGTGTTAGCAGAAATGGGGAGACTGGCCACATCATGGCTGGTACCATTTCCTGGCTGAGAATCTAGACAGTCTAAATGGAGAAAGGGAACTAGACGAGAGAAGAGCATGCATTCATCACCCTCTGCTTCCTGATTGTAGACACGGTATGTCCCCTGCTTCAAGTTCCCACTGTCTTGAATTCCCCAACACGATGGGGTGTACCCTTGAACTGTGGACCAGAGTATAATAAACTCTTTCTGGAGAATTTCATCCCAGCAACAGGAAAGATGCCTTCTTTGATAGCCTACTGTTTACTTTCCCTATCGCTGTGACCAAATACATGACAACAGTAACAGGAAGGAAGGAAGGAAGGAAGGAAGGAAGGAAGGAAGGAAGGAAGGAAGGAAGGAAGGAAGGAAGGAAGGAAGGAGCGGTTTGTTTGGTCTCACGGTCCACCGTGGTGGTAGTAGGTGTGGCGGGTGACCAGCCACATTGTGTCCACAGTCCGAAGCAGAAGGAGATGGATGCTGGTGTTCTACTTGCATCCATCATTTTTCATCCAGAGCCCAGGTCACAGGATGGTACCACCCACATTCAGGGTAGGTCTTCCCCTCCCTTACACCTTTCTGGAAAGCCATCCCAGAGATACCCAGAGGTGTGTATTCTAGGTCATCCTAAAGCCTGTCAGGTTGACAACGAGATTAGCCACCATCGCACGTAGAGTGAAAGCTGGAATTCCAGCTTCAGGCTGACACTTTAATAGTTTCTTAGTCCCTGCCTTTAACATAGGAAGACTTTCCAAGCACATAGGCCATTCTGATCATCTGGTATAACAGTAAGGGTAGTGTGAGACAGAGACTTCAGATTTCTTCATCGTTCTCATGACCAGTCCAAGTATTGTGTTTTCCACTGCACTCTGTCTGGTGAATGTAAGGCCTCATGTACGAGGCAGATGCTCCACTGTGAAGCCACATCCCTCTCCCACTGTTATCTGGCACATGTCTGACTTAGTGTTCACACTACAGCTCGGGCAAGAATTGAACTCGCTATACTGCCTCAGGCTCCACCATGTCTAGCTAGCTCCGCCATGCCTAGTTACACCATGCCTGACTAACTCGACCATGCCTAGCTCCGCCATGCCTAGCTTCTGCTGTGCTTTTCTTTTCTTTTTTTTTTTAATTAAACCATCATAAAGACATCATTGTGGGTTTCAACCAGCTGTCTTTCCTCTCATTTCCTAAATGTCTCTGTAGGATGCCAGCCAGGATTCCTTATATTGTTTGTTTTCCAACAAGAAATCTTAGAACTCTTCCATGAATACTATAGCTGTCTCTCCCTCAATCTCAATCCCCCCACCTTTTTTTTTTTTTTTTTTTTGCAAAAATGTTTTATTTCTGTGTTTGTTTCCAGGGACATTCCAGCAGTGAAGCTGCACATAGATGCGATTCTATCTCCTATGGCTGTTTCTTATCTATTATTTTCACTTTGGTGCGTGTGTTTGTGCGTGCGTGTGTGTGTGTGTGTGTGTGTGTGTGTGTGTGTGTGTGTGTGTGTGTGTGTGTGTGCGTGCACATAACTTCTGGTCTCAGAAGTTGACAACGGTTGTCATCCTCGGTTGTCCCACGCCTGCCTCAGGCAGGGTCTCTGAGCCTGGGGCTCACATATAAGTTAAACTGGCTGGTTGGTGAGCTCCAGGGGTCTGCCTGGCCCCATCTCTAGCGCCAGGTTACAGATGTGCTTCATGTCACTGTGTCCATTGTACATGGGTGCTGCCTTCCACGCTTAGGTCCTCATGATGATGCCACCGGCACTTTAACAACAACTGAGCCTCTCCCAGTCTCTGCCTCCCATTTCTAATTTATTCTTAGACCAGATTATTTCCAGTCTCTGGTTTGTAATGTGCTTTGGCCAAGACTTAGATAAACACTTCAACAGTCAAACTTGCCATTCCTATTTTAAGGTTCTGGTTCTGGGTGTATTTTTAAAAGCTTTGCTTGACTCTAGAAAGACAAGAATGAAGCACACAGAATACCCCTTATGCTCTGAGCTCCCTGTCCATGCTTTCAAAGAAAACAGTCGGGCACCTGCTGTCCTATGGCCCCTGGAGGTGGGCTTTCCAAGAACAGCCCATCCCCCAGCTTCAGGATTGGCATGTCCGCAGTGGCTCGTCCTAAGCCCTAGGACATAGGGAGCCAGGCAGAACCTAAGAACATGAAGTTCCCACTCTGAATTGGTATGATAGCTTCAGATAGCAACTCTCTTTAAATTATAAAGAATATTAGGATGAGTCTGCCTAAAGTTTCCAAACAGAGTAGTTTCTGCATTATAAAAATCTGTCTTTGTGCTACCAAACAGATGCCCAGAGTTTGTCATCTTGAGTTACAGGTGTCTTTCCTCCCTTATCTTTGAGATCTTGTGTTGAAGAGAGTCCTGGGGACACTTCTAGAGAAGCCCCTCAGAGCAGTCCCTGGTCTACAGGCTTTTGCTTCTTACCTTTGTGCTGAATGTCTTTTGAGTCCCAGCATCAGAGCCCTTCCCACAGCATGGCCATGAAGACTCATATCTGCAGACACCACTGCCCTTCCGAGCAGGCTTTTCTAGTCTGAGCTGGGGAGTGTGCAGGAGAGAGGCCATATTTAACAACAGCTTTCCTTGCTTGTCACGTCCTGGTGGCTTCTCCATCTACAAAATGCCTTCCTCTGTTGTTGTGACTGAAAACTAAAAGCCCTCGGCCCCCTTCCTCTTGAGCCACTACAACAAAATTGCATAGACTGGGCGACACAATCAGCAGCTGTTTAGTTCCTGGAAACTGCAAGTCCAACATCAAGGCACTGACTGTTTACTTTTGATGAGGGCTGTCTCCTGGTTTGGAGATGTCCACCACTGGAGCTGTGTCTTCACAGCTGTCTTTTCCTCAGTGTGTAGTGTCAACAGTGAGAGAGAAGGAAGTAGGGGGTCAGAGAGAAGGTACACATGCATGCCAGGCCCTGGTCTCTAGTCTTGTTGAGGAGCACGCATGTGCATGCGTGCGTGCTTGTGTGTTTTGGTATCTCTTCTTATAGCAACACTAATCCTTTTGGATCAGGGCCCTACCCTTATGACCTGATATAACCTTAATTCCTTGAATGGTTTATCTTTCAACACATCCAGACTGAGAATTTAAATTTCCAACATAAAATTGTAAGCACTTGAGAGGTAAAGACACAGAGATCAAGAGTTCAAGGCCACACTCAACCACATAGTAGATCTGAGGATAGTCTGAGGTACATGTTCCCAAAAGTGGGGGAAAGTGAGTAGGAAGACCATGGTTCATTTGGGGTTCAGATATGAAGTGACATGCCCCCACAGCTCATGTGTTAGATCGCTTGGTCCCCACCTGGTGATATTTAAAATGTTGTGAAACCTTTAGGAGGTAGAGCCTAGCTGGAGGAAGCAGGTTGCTGCAGGTGACTCTTAAAATTCATATCTGCTTCCTGCCTGACTGACTTCGCAAACTCCGGAATTGAGCAGGCTGTGCCCAAGCTCCCGCCAGGCCCTCTCCCAGCATGGCGGATGGCATCCCCAACTGTAGGCCAGGATAGGTAGTTCCTGTGAGTAGTTTCTGTCGTGTATTCTGTCCCAGCCGTACGAAAAATAGCTAGTGAAAATGCCTGGGCTTTGTTTTTTTATTGCCTAGAAACAGGGTTTAAAATGCCACTGAGATACTATCCCAGTCGATATAAGAGAGAGGATCACAAAGAAATTTCTCTAAAACATATTCAGAAGGGCATGACAAATCTGTATTATTGCTCCCATGTGAGGCACAGTTAAAATCCCTGGCTCCAGCATCCATGAACTCTGACCTCAAGCCAGGCACATGACCTTTCTAAAGCAATCTTGTGTTGCTCGACACAGTACCTGGCATGAGGCTAACGTGGGATGTTTGCTGGTGCTGCTGTTATTACTGGGAAACAATGAAGTCAGACTTCTGTGTAAAAGTGCTCCATATAGCTCTAGTAGCCTCACTACCTGGGAGATATTAGCCATGATTTCAAAAACTATCATTTAGAGTTCTTTAAACTCACTGGAAGTCACAGCTACGCAGCAAGCATGCTGTGGTCACATAGCCTATAATTGTGTTTATTTATAAATAATGGTATGTAGTACTATCCATAGTAGTACAAGGTATATTTTATACGTACTTTGAGGTAGACTTTTGAGAACATTTGAGATATGAAACAGAGATTAAAATGTCGAGAGCCTGGCTGGAGTGATGCCTCAGTGGGCAAACCGCTTGCCGCATAAGTGATGCCTCATAAGCCTGACAAACTTGAGTTCTATCCCTGGACCCACATGAAGGTGGCAGCAGAGAGTGGGCTGCTGCGGTACCCGTCCTGACCGTTGGTGCTGAGGAAAGAGTACAGAAGTGTTTGGAAGGGGGAGCTGGAAAGGCCACAGTGTGCTCCGAACTTGACAGGCTTTTCTGTGGGCGTTCAGAAGATAATAATGATAATGAGAGAAAGGCTGCCTGCAGGAGCGCGCTCATGCCCACTGTGTGGGGTGGGGGACAAGGTGAATGACAGCCGTCATTAATGGGCAGGGTCCTCCTCACCTGCTTAGCTGAGCGCCTCATGCCAGCTGCAAGCCCTCCTACTGTGAGCTCCAGAGTTCCTGGCCTTGCCTGTTTAACATTCATTGCTCACACCCACCACCAAGGCCTAATGAATGCGTGGGAGGGAGAGTCTGCTCGTTCAACCTGATTTTCCTTGTGTTCACCAGGTGTCTCCAACACATCACCACCCAGTGGGCTCAGGAGAGCAGAGACAGCACGCCCACACAGTCCTGTCCTCTCCGCCCAGAGGGACGGTCAGCCTAAGGTATGATTGCTTAAAAGGAGCCAAGACCTTTTGGTTCTGTGACCTTCTGTAAACTTTCTCCCCATCATGAAGCATGTTTGCTGTCGTCCCCGTGGTTTCCTGTAGAGTAACTGGAAAGGGCATTTACAGTTTATAGGATAAGTAATGGTAGTCACTGTCCTGCATTAACCGCTGTATGACATGAACGACAATTTACAGTTTTCTTTTTTTTTTTTTTTTTGGTTTTTCGAGACAGGGTTTCTCTGTGGCTTTGGAAGCTGTCTGGGAACTAGCCCTTGTAGACCAGGCTGGCCTCGAACTCACAGAGATCCGCCTGCCTCTGCCTCCCAAGTGCTGGGATTAAAGGCGTGTGCCACCAACACCCAGCTACAGTTTTCATCTAGAGCCAAGAGAGTCCCCTGGGAAGCCTCCAGCCAGGTTTTGGAACACGGAAAGGAAAAAAAAGACAAACTGAAAATTTGGAAGAGCCGTGTTGTTCTCTACTGTTCCGTGTTTTATTTTTGTTGTTTGTTTGTTTGTTTTACAGAAGGCAGAGCATTTGGGTGGCACAAACTTGTGTGTGTGTGTGTGTGTGTGTGTGTGTACGTGTGTGTGTGTGTGTGTGTGTGTGTGTGTGTGTGTGTGTGTGTGTGTGTGTGTGTGTGTGTGTCTGTCGTATCCAGCTCTGTATCACTTCTGGGAGTCCAAACTAACTCTCGTGTTTAAACAGCAAATGCTTTCCCCAGACCCATCTCTCCAGTCTCTAACTCTTGTGTTTACTAAAAATGGCCAGACGAACATTTCCGTGAATGACACTTAGAAACAGCTTAAGTACAGTGGCCAGGAAAATACAGAAAGCTCCTACTCCATTCTGGGCAGGTTTTTGTTCTTCTCTTGAACTCTCCCCAGTCCCTGAACACGTTCTGTGCTGTCTGTCCTACAGGAAGCCCAGAGGGGAAGGCAAAAAGTGCCGCAAGGTCTACGGGATGGAGAACCGGGACATGTGGTGCACCGCGTGCCGCTGGAAGAAGGCGTGTCAGCGCTTCATCGACTGAGCCCGGCAGCAGGCTTCCCGCCCCGCCCGCCCCGCCCTCCGCTGCAGGTGACGGAAAAGCCTCTCCTTCCAAAGGAAGCCATTCAAGGCCCAGGGAAAGCCTTTCCTGGAATTCTGGGAATGTAATTCCTTAGTGGAATTAAAGCAAAAAAATCAGCACCTGCACTGCTCTGAGAGCCCAGGCGAGAGCAGCGAGAATGACTTTTTCCTTCAAAAGAAAAGTCAACTTGATTTGCTCTCCGTCTGGTCTCAAAGTTGGACTTCTGTAGCAACTCAACCAACCAGGCCCATTTTACGTAGAAAGATTTTGATAAGCTTTCTGAATTGTGGTATTTTCAAAGGTTTTTGACACTTAAACAGTACGCCCATAAGCTACACAGTACACATTAGCTAGCATTTATACAAAGGATAACCTACCTTGTGAATAGGCATTTCTGTTTCCCATTCAACTCCTTGAAGCAGTCCAGATCATGATGTATTTCAAGAAGGAGCTGCACTCTGGCTATCCTTTTCTATGTATGTTTTATTTCCAAGAGGGACCCCAAGCAGAAGCATCGGAAAGATGTTAGCTTGGAGCCCCAGGTAGCATAAGGCCCAAAGTGACTAGCAGTGGGAACCGTCTGTGGACTTCAACCGCAAGCTGAGGCTAGGACGCCCGGGACGCCGCAGAAAGCATCTGGGAGTCTTCCTTGGATCCTGTCTGGTGGCACAGCTACTTCTCTGCCTGCCACAGCTCAGGTGAGAGCTGGCACCAGGAGCCATCTGGTAAGCTGTCACAGGAACCGCAGCTTGGGTGGTGTGTCCTGCTTTGTCTTGTCAAGACGATGGCCAGGATCATGGGTTGTCCAAACCCTGCCCAGGTAGACATCTCCAGACTGGGCAGCTTTGCTTTCAGCAGAACACGGCTGACGTACCCCCGTCTGTGAGGAAGTCCCACTAGGGCAACAAGCCGACTTCCATTCTGCGTGCACTTTTGCAGATTCCGTGTCTAGGAGATGAGGTAGGGGACATAGTGACATGTATGGATAATGGAGAGCTAAACCTTTTCATCTCTTATAAAAAATATTGGAGCGATGAATTAAGAATTTGCTAAGAAACTAACTTACAAGATGTCCAAAGGAAAAAGCATCTTGGTATAGGACACTCTCGATTTAGTAGGGCCAAGGCTTGTACTGGCTTCCAGCTGTTGGAATGTCTGAATTGGTGGACTTGCGTGCTGGAGGGGTGGAGCGTGGTGAGCAGCCGCCGAGCCTCGTTGGAACGGAACACTTGTTCTCTGTCCGCCCTGCTTTAAGAGCTGGATGTCCTGTACCTATGCAAAGCAAGAGCACCTTATAGGAGGCACTGGGTAGGGATGGGGGCCGTGGTGTCAGCCATACGAATGTTAAGTGAAATTGCACACAAGAAAGCTTAATATATGTTTCAAGATTGTACATAGTGCTTTTTTTACAGAGTCAAAAGAAGTCAGAGTAATCAGACACCTTGTTATGTCAGGGGTATATATGGAGGTTCTGCAGCCCAACACCCTTAATTTGTGTATTCATGTATCTTGGCAATTTTATTTTTTAAATTCATGTGACTTTTTAAAAGATTATTTCTTAAGAGAATACCTGATCTTTGCTTCAGATATTTAAAAGGGAAAAAAACCCTACTGATTTCAAAAGAAAATGATCTTTCTATGATTCCCCATAGGTTGATAGTTGACATCAGCCACACCGGCTCTCCTTGATCTTTTGACCTGCAACCAGAATACAGCTTTTTTTTTTAATGCAGAGCTAAGTTGTTTTTTCTTCCTGGGCATGTCCTCTCTCTCTCTCTCTCTCCTGTCTCCTGTAGCCTCACTGCTGTGAAACAAAGTCCCAGCTGATACAAGAGACTCTGAGCCACAGGAAGATGGTCCTGGTCAGCTGTTTGATCAGGTGAACCCTATGCTAGAGGTTTCCCCCTCAGCAGAGTTCCCTGAAGTTTTTTTTTTTTAATCTGAGATGAAGACTTTAATCAAAATACTGCAGTGATGTGAAGTGACATCCATCCTCTCTTGAACTTTGGGATGAAGGACTGCTCTCTGAATGACAGTCACCCTTCAGCAAGGTGCCATGGCCGTCTCCCCAAGTGACAGCCCAAGGGAGGTTCTGCGTAACTGTGCACATCGTCGGCAAAGTCATGACGCCGAATGCACCTGACCTGCATCCCTCATCTTCTCTAACGCCTTCATCATGCCAGCTCTTCTGCATCTCCAGCTCCAGTCCACAGGCCAGCCCTAGGCTTCCAGGTGCAGACAAATCCAGAGTACAGTTTTGGACACATATGCCCATTCCCTGAGAGGAAGGATGCAGTCTCCAGGGGACCAGAAAGCTCTGAATTGCAACATACAGTTGCCGATTATATGAGTTACATTTTGTTATAAGTTACATTGTGAAGCAGTTATTTCGGTATTTGGGGGACCAAATGAAGCTCGACTTTTCATTTGATGCCATCTCCATGAAACTAAGTTCTTTTTGTGTCTGTATTTTGTGGAGAAACAAGGGAAAGAAGGATGAGAAGAAGAACCTCAGGCCAGGTGGCTGCTAGCCTGAAGTTGTACAAATCCCCAGGGATAGCAGCCCTGTCTACAAAAGGAATGGTGATGCAATGAATTCTTGCCCATTGGAAATGTCTGATTCTTTTTCTTCCTTCCTTAATGTCCCTTCCTCAAAAACAAAAAAAGGTTTCTCCTTTCTCCCAGAGAAGGCATTTCACAGTGACTGGCAGGACATTGTCTAGCCAGCCACAAAGCAAAAGCAATGTGTGCAACAGGCAATAGTTTCCATTCTTAGCCTTCCCCGAGTATGGACACTTAGTTTGTGGAAGTCAGTGAGACAAGGAGAAAACCCCCAGGTAGCAAGTATGCTAAGGAGGCCATGCAGGAAACCTGAGCACACTGCCTCCTCCTCTTCCTCCTCTTGGGGCTGGTCAGCCAGGGATCCTCATGTCTATTGTAGCTGTCTTAAACAAGACAGGGCCTGTCATACAGGCTAACCCTTCTGCCACCTTATGTCTAGGAATTTTCTCTATGGAGCAGCAAAAGCCAGTGTCAGGAAGAAAGCAAAGGTTTCCGAACCAGAGTGGGCTTTATAGTGCAGTTGATGGCTCCACGTCCAAGAGATTCCCTTATGAGATAGATGATCCCCTGCCTCCTGTGACCAAGCTACGGATAAACGTCATCGGTAGAAAACAGCACTGGCAACAGATAGCCCTTGGGCTTTCCAAATATCTATTCAGAGATGCTCACACGTGCATTGCAAAACATTTCTGAAACTGAATTCTTCCCCCATTGCAATTCAAGATGACATGAGTTGAAGTCTGCCATCTCTGGTACCCTTACATCACACTTCCACCAGAGGCCCTGGGCTCCCAGTGAGCCTTGCAAGACTCCGTTTTGTGTCTCACTTCAGCTGCACTGCATGAGGAGGGTGGCCCTCACTGGAGAAGGTTCTCGGAAAAGAGGCAAGAACTACCCATACAAGATAATGTGCTGAGCATCACAGCAGAATACTGTAAATAGCACTCATTTCCTCAGGGAAACAGGAAGTACGCAAGAAGACAGATCTGGAGAACCCCACGACCGGGAGGAATTTTACTGTCTCAAGTCGTTTCTTGTCACAACAAGTTTGTTATTTTTTGTTGTTGTTATTTTTTTCATGTAAACTTAGTATCATTTCAAGACAAATCCGTGTCAACTGGACAGTGTCAACTTCCGTGAGGCATGGCAGATGCACCTGCTGCATAACTGTCTCTCTGTAGGTGGCCTAAAGCTGACTGATATTTGAGCCACAGGCGCAGAGCCTGCTGGGTGTTCGTGGATGCAGTGAAGCTTTCTCTGAATGTAATTGTGAGCTGGAAGCCTTGCTGTTCCTTGCTGTGGTCTCCTGGTTTGGGCAACTGATGATTGGCTACACACAGCATTCGCTAAGTGAAAGAAAGCTGTTGGAGGCATGTGCTTTTCTTCAGTGGCATGCTTAGGAGCACGGCCGTGGACTCTTATGGACAGGTGCTGCCTTAGTCTCACACCCTGTAGGATTTCCACCATCCACATGGGCCGCAGCATTGACCTGTGTGAATACGTACAAACGAGTGGCCCCAGTGGGACCTGTCACTGTAAAACACATGATTGGGGGTGGGGGGTCATTTTTCAGGGCATGCTAGGCATATGAGTCAACCAGAAAGTTTATTTCTGTAAGAAACCTACCAGCAGCACACAGGCTCCCCTCGTCCTCCTACCTGGGGGATTCCTCCATGTTGCAACCATTTCATCCTGTCTTTTCTGCATTGTAGAAATTTAGCCAAATGGGAAGTTAGTAAACAAAATGAGGTTAGCACTTTTAGGTACCAGTTGTCCTGAGTAACGCACACCAACAGAGCAAGGAAGGATGAAATGTTCTCAAGACTGACTTGCTTCTGATGACTGGCTTTGGAATGGTCCATTTCCAATGCTATACATGCTTTAAGGGGTATACCTATCACAGGGCCAGGAATCATAATGGGAATCTTATATCCTGTCCTGGTTTGTAAATAGCTCCTTTTTTTCTGAAGACAATCTCATGTTTTATAACTTTTGTTGTGTGGGTCTGAGAATCACAATTGTAATGTGTTACAGTAAATATAATCTTAAATACAATAATAATTACAACTTAAATTTCCAAATGAAAGAAATATACTGCTTAGGCGTCTATAAGAGACATGACACTTTTATAATAAGCATTAGTACTTCTCGAGTTTAACAGAACTGGAAATATTTTACAAGATACAGTGTTTTATAATCACAGAGAACATGAACACTTTGTGGGAAATGACCTTGGTTTTATACATTGTAGCTTATTTTTTAAAATGCAGTATTTTAACTGACAGGAGGTGTTGATACGGCACACAGTTCCTGTTCACCAATCCAAGGGCTACACCTCTTTTAAACAAGTGTTTTGATGCGTGTCTTTTCAATTAACCCTCTGAGCAAGGGTAGCAGTGCAGAACAGGTAGAAAGGTTATGTGCAAGAGAATCGATGTAGCAGCAACTTCTCCCTCATCATGACCAGCATGTTTTCAAAGCATGGGGCGGGGGATCATATGAAGATTCACTTTTTATACTTTAAACATAAGATGTTAGCAGATAGACTTCTAGGCCGTGGAAGAAAGTATCCCTTTAGTGTGAAATGAATTCGGTCATGAGTTTTCCTGTTGGCCTATTGGAGCTACATTCTGCATTTAGTGAGCAAACATCATTTGGTGGGGATGGCTAAAAATCATAGTATGTACATCCAAAGACCCTTTTAACCGTCAGCAGTGTTTGAGATGTTTCTATTCTCTCCACCAACTGAATAATTTCCTCATCAGAACAACTGCGTTGTTTGACTTTTGTTTGTTTTTCACTGTGAAAAACTCACAGGCACGCAAGGTTGTGAGCAGAAAGTGACAGCATTCCCACAGGACATAAGAAACAAACAGGGGAGCTACACAAACAGTTGTGAGTTTTGCCAAAACTATTCCCAGCTGTTCCACGTCCTCAAGCCCACTCACTGTTAAAGAAAGCATCCTTTCTTCCCAAGCGTTTAGCGATCAGAAAGCTAGTACAGTTTCCCTAAGAGCGCAGACAGTATCAAAGAGGAGCTGCAATAGGACAGCTGAGCGCCTGTTGGGTAACTCAACAAGCCATCAGAAGGCTCAGAGTCTGTTCAGTGAGAATTATGCATGCATGGTTTGAGGGAGCACCACTCCCTCCCTCAGAATTGCACCGCTGATAGCATTTGAGTACCCAGCACTGCAGTTTTGAACTGTGTGTGTCTCATTCCACCTGTGAATGGAGGCTTCTTTACAGAGGCTGCAAATTTGGGTGCTTCAAAATGACCACACGTGTCATGCTGACCAGCACATGCCAGGACAAGGACAGGCACCAGGGAACGGTGGAAATGGTGTTGGACTAGGCAGAGGACATCTTCCGAGAATGGAGACCCACACAGAGCCCCCCTCAGCTTTTGACAATCAGAACCCACGGACATCAGGCCAGGTTGCTAGATCCCATCGGCGACATGACATCACCTGACAACTAAGTATTGACCACCGACACACATTCTCGGCCAATACCACAGACCAAAGAAAAGCTGTGTGGGGTGGGGGCATCCTGTGGCCGCAGTCCCAGCTGTGGAAGCCAGTTCCACATTCCCCCATGATCACCATAGATGCCCGTGTGGGCACTAGCTGAGCAGTAGACATTTCAAATGAGAAGAGAAGCTGCTTCTCCCTAGAGATTATTCTCACGGACGACAAAATAGAAATGTCAGACCCTTATTAGCCTTGTCCCTTATCAGAGCGTACTGAATTGTTGCCCAGCTCTGGCAAGAGCTGCCTCCTGACATACCCAGACCACGCCCCGAAGTACTGAGTAGCTGTAACCCTGACTCTTACTGTGTCTGCTACCGAGACCACTGTGATGCAGGGCTGGGAAAACAAAACAAGAAGCAGCCTTGTGCCTTCATAGAAGGCAGCCAGGTGCCCCTGAAGTTAGGTGACACATGGCGCCTTTTGTGCCAAAGCCCTCTGCCCTCTCCATGCTCCCCAGGCCATTCTCCTTGTTCCACTGTAAAAATGAAATATAAAGTAAAATATTTCCTCTCCAATCTGGCTAAATCCTTGCTTCAGAACTAATAGGCCCTTAGGTGTTTTGGGGTGTGCACTTTAAAGGAAGTTTTTCCTTGTAGAAAACATTGGCTTCTTTGTCTGAGGGCAGTATCCAAACAAGAATAACTGTTATGTTGGGGTGGGGGGGGGGTAAGAAGCAGAGTAAACTATTTCATAGTTCTGAACAGCTATGTTGTTTTAAAGTCTATCTTATATTGAACTCCTGATGTTACAGGGACAGTTCTGTATGGTAAAGGTATCTCATTCAGACATTATTTCCTTTGACCTTCGTTAAGAACCTAGTGTCGAAACTGAGGTCACTGTCCCACATCCAAGGCCAGCCCAGAGTAGTCTTGAACCCATGAGTCAGCACCGTCATTACCTGCAAAGAGGGAGGAAGGTTTGGCTGTCTTCCACAGTGACTCAAGCGCCACCATGTCTTCCATCCAGAAATATAAAGAACACACTCATGTTACTAAGTGCAAATTTAACTATCCCCAAATGTGTCCCCATACCATAGCTACCATGCTGGTCCCCAAGTTTCATCCAGCAAATGCTAAAGTGTAGGAACTTCTTAGCTAAAGCAATATTCTAGGTAAATATTTTGACTCCTTGGGAAAAATTATTTTTCTGCTGGTGTCTAGCTTTCAGGCTCTATAAGTTTAAATTTGAATGCAATTTAAACAAGGCTGGCAAATTTTGACATGGCATCCACTGGGAATGACTAAAAGACTGTCCAGTATATGAACGTGCTTCATCCAAGGCTCTCAGTGGGCCAGGCTGAGCATTCGAGTTCAGAGTGAAGTCACAAGGAATTTTGTCATAGGACTAGAAGGAACAAAAAAAAAAACCTCTGCTGGCCTGTTACTAGTTAATTAGCAGGGTTGTTTTTGTTATTATTAGTGCTCTTATTGTATTTTAGGTAATTCAGTGCCTGGAGGCAGAATGGCTTAGCCCTACCCTACTGAGATGGAAAAGCAGCGTTGTGTAGTTTTGACTGGCGGTCCATAGAAAGAGCCCAGTGTTTGTGAACAAGAACAAAGCAAATAACTAGATTTTGAAGTAAGGTTCAGAATTAAATATCGGTTCTTTCTTTAATGTTCTTTCTCAACGGGCACTGTCCATAAAATTGTGAGCCTTCAAGGAGAGCTCCCCTTTTATGCTACAAGACCCCTGGAAATCGATCCTTGAGGCTATGACACTTCCTTAGTGGGATCAATTCCCCCCAAATTTTAATTTTAAAAAAATAGCCAAAATGGAGCATGGCAACCCCTGAAAATCACAAGAAATCTGTCATTAAAGGGGGGAAACAAAAGCACCTCCCTTTTTCTTTGAGTCTGAGAGAAGAGTCCCCATCATTTTCAACCATCTTGACAGCAGTACCCAGGTTGTCTGGTGGACACTTGCTCTCTTAAGGTCATCATCTCCCCAACCCAGAGGACAGGGAGTTGTCCTGGTTCCTTTCCAAAGCCAGGGATGAGCCATTCTTGTTCATTGGTTGCTTACTGGATGTTTCTCTGAAGTCTGCCCCCACTGCATAGATGCTTATCCTGTCTTGTTCATTTGCTCAGTGAGTGGCTACCCCCATCCTGCAGGGAAAGGGCCAGGCACCTGTCTGAGCATGTGCAGTCTCCTGGTTGTAGAGAGAGTCTTCCTTAGCACCTTCATGCCACACCAGCCCAAAGGTCAATTTCTGCCTCCCTGAGAGAGGTAGCTGCTACTCCCTTCCCTGTGCCTTGGAGCATTCCTTCCAGCTACCTGCGCCGAGCTGAGAGTAAGGAGGACAGAGGGTGCTGGCATCTGTGTTACCATGGAGTGCTACAGCCAACCAGGAGGGCTTCATTCTGAATCCTTCCAGACTCTGGCTTTTCTGCCTGACGCTTGCAGAGTGCAAGCATTGGCCTTCCTTGTGTGACGAAGGAGTACCTTCGGTGTATACGTGTTCCTGTTTTGTATTTCTGGAAAGCAAAACCTACTTCGGTCTGTCCCCCTTGTCAAACCTTCATTCCTCACCCCAGGATAGCCCCATCCCTTGTTTTGGGCATAGGCATCAAGACAGAAAAGAAAAGGGCTTGCTGCTGTTCTTGGTTTTGAGTTACCCCCTTGGGGATCCATCCCCAAATGGGGAAAAGATGTCCAACTTGGCAGACTACAATGTGAGGGATTAGTTTGTAGGCCCTTTCTTGATATTCTTAGTGGAAGTCTGTGGCTGGAACATGGCATGATCAACCCCAGGGTTTCAGCTGGAGAAACTGATCATGGGGAGGAAACTTCAGACGGCCCCACAAGCACATGGCACCTCCCTAAGCACCCCACTTACCTGACTTCAGAACTAAAAATACCCCAGGTGTAAAAATGAGTCAGGCCCATGGCTCATACTACACTCCATATTTTCCTACAGTGCACCTTAAAATTCCTATTTTTGTAATGGTTAGACTGTGGTCAGCCACTTAACACTCTATGGATTAACTGATATACCCTAGTATAGTTTCCAAAATATTCCATATCAAAGTCCTGTATGCATGGAAGAACTCAGGGTAAGAAAATACTGCTAGGTCCCAAAGGGTTCAAGACTATCACCAAAAGTAAATGCCAGGAGGCCTGCGGCCATTGCTTACAAATGAGGGCACTGGGAGAGGGGAATATTAGCTGTAGGTCCTCCGTTGTCCTTAGTGGTGGGGCTTACACAGACTGTGCTCTTAAAGGTAAGCCATCTTTGTTTGTTTTTGTTTTTGTGTTTCGTGACAGGGTTTCTCTGTGTAGTTTTTGGAGCCTGTCCTGGAACTAGCTCTTGTAGACCAGGCTGGTCTCGAACTCATAGAGATCTGCCTGCCTCTGCCTCCCGAGAGCTGGGATTAAAGGCGTGCGCCACCACCACCTGGTGGTAAGCCATCTTTTACATTCTTTCATACACCAAATCTAAAATATGAGAAAAAGAAAGTTACCGAATAAAGTGGGGTAGTTAGTGGAGATGCTGTCTGTAGGAAGCTTTGCTCGTAGTGTCTGATAAAAACAACAAAAGCCACACTGAAGCCCAGGGCGTGGTCCTCTGGCGGCCACTGGCATTAGGATGGCAGCCTCAAGCGTGGACAGGCACTGATTGAAGGCATTTCGGCAATGCTATCCAGCATATGGAGAGGTCTTTTGAGGTACAATCTTGCCATCATTTCAGGGGTAAGTACTTCCTTACAAAGTCTTTAATAATGACTGAATGTATAAAATTATATACTATGCATTTTCAAAGAGAAACATGTATTTTATATCAAATCCAAGTACTTTTTTCATAAAGACTTATCACAACTACAGATGATTCAAAATAAATGAGAATACAAATCCTCGTAAGGGTGTGGGGTGCCTTTGTTTTTTCTGTCCGATGGTTTCAAGACAATGTATCCAGACTTTCATCTTAGAAAGGAAGAAAGAAAGAAAGAAAGAAAGAAAGAAAGAAAGAAAGAAAGAAAAAAACCAGCAGTGCCGTGGATGAGGGTACAGCTTCTGCCTGAGGGGAGCGCTCACTAACTGTCCCCAGTTTTTAGAGAAGGGTGCTTTAGTCAACACTAGATCAGGTAAATAAGGACCAGTGATGTGGCTCAGAGGTAGAGCACTCACCTGGCACATGTAAGGGCCTGGGTTCAGTCCCCAGCACTGGGAAATAATAATATCAAGAAGCAGGCAAACAATCAAAACTTGGAAAGTTAACATTGCCTCGGCAAAAGATGGCCCAGGTTTGTCTGTCGTGGTTAATTCTCCATCCACCCAAGGGATGAGGAGTGCTCTTTAAAGAGTTTAGGTTACAGTTTCAACGAACAAAACATAAAAATACTATCTGACATGACAAATAGTTGATTTTTTCCCAAAATTACATGGAGATGATATTTTGAAAAATCGTTGTAGAATATACCCGAATTTCCTCAGCCTCCTGCTGATAGGCGTGTTCATGAAACCTTTCCCATGAAAAGTGGTCTCTCCTTCAGTGCTTACTCCACCCCACAGCATCCTTCCTCCAGCTGACGATGGGGAAGTGCGCTCAACTTCTCTGCTTTCCGGTTCTCTTCTGTGTCTGTTGAGGAGTCTAGGCTGTTTGTAAAATACAGGAAAACACGCGTCTAACCCCGGTACTTAGGGTCATACTGGACACGTTTGCTACCTAAGTAGACATTCGTGGGAGGGGGCAATGTGTCTTTTTATATGGTTTTTAGCCAACTCCAGATGTTCTGGTACTCCATTTCTGATACTTTTCTGACTGTAAATACCGCCTGCAGAGTCAGGCGGAGTGACCTTTTCTGAGACTGTTCCTCAGCCGTGCTCCCTGCCAGCTTTTGGCACACTGTACATAGACTTGTCAAATGTTTCAATGATGTTGTTTTTCTAAATGCTGTTCTCTAACACTTTTTTTGGTTTTTTTTTTCCTTTGTTGTTCTGGACTTTGTGTTAGTTTTACACAATGTTTCCTAAGATTTAACACCAGGAAAAAAATATTTTAAAATCAACTGGTGCTAATTGGAAAATAAGAAAAATTTTCAGTTTCAATATTTACAAGAGAAAATATTCACACCAGTTAAACTGCACTTTCCCAGGGGGATGGCTGCTGTCCACTTAGGATGGGCCTCAAGAGGACCAGCAGATGTTTACAGTATTGATGGCCCACTTATGTGTCGCACAGCGAGGAGCCCATCCCCCCAGAGAGGAGGGTTTGCTGGGTGGTCCTCAAAGCATGCAATCGACAGAAAGGTAGAGAGTGAGAACCCTTTAGAAATAGTCTCTGGTCTTTGGACTTTCGTGTTCTGTAATGCTTAGCTGTAACAATGAATATGGTGTTGCCAATCTCGTCTGACGTCATCGTCAACCTGTACTGACTCTCTGTATGGTTCTACCCTTGGTTTGCACTGGTACACACCAAGCCAGAACACGGGTCTTTCAGTGAGACCCTTCTGATTTCTCTGGTGTCCACACACATGAATTTAGATGCACTTGTAACTGGTTAACTACCATGAAGTAAGTCTAACTTCCACTTAATAAAAACTTTTGTGTATCTGCTTCTCTATTTGGGAGCCATTTTTATTTATGTAAGGCTTATATATCCAGAGTTGTCCGTGTACTGGTTACTGGTTTGATGCTGCGGTAGAAGGTTTGAAACAACAGGAGAGAGGAAGGGTTTTTTGGTTCGTGGTTTATGGGGCTGTAATCCGTCATGGTAGGGGAACAGGGAAGCTGCAGTTTGGTGCCCATGCAAACAAAACATACAGCACAGCTAGTTACATCTTGGTAAACCAGAAGTCAGATCCTTCAGTCAGAAGCAGTGCCAGTCTCCTAAAGCAGAGACCCACTGCCTCCAACTAGACCCAATCTCCTTCCCAAATCTAGCTTCTCAAAACGGTCACCAGCTAAGGACCCAGTGTATAAACATGTGAGCCTGTGAAGCACATCCAAACTCAATAGAAGGTTTGGGATTTAGCCTAGAGTTGTAAAAACTGTTTAAAAAGCAAAGGCATGCCTTCATTGTAAGTACCGTTTTCCATCAAGGCTGTTCCCATGCTCGGCCCTGCTGCCTACACCTTGAACCACAGCCCAGACTGACAACAGCTCGCCTATGTTTCTGACGCTGTGCTAAGAAAACTATGTGCAGTGTCCACACTGGTGCTAAGTCAGACAGCCTTCCACTGGACAGGTTTCTTGTCCACTAGAGCTGACTGTGTCCACCTCTGAAAGCCAGATGCACATGTGTTCAGCAATGTAATGGGCTTTGCAGGCCAATCTGCCCAGAGATGTGAGTTTTGCCTATGGCTAGATGAACTATTGGACTATTTAATACTTAAATTTTCAAGTATTATGATGATCATAAAGTTGGTGGGCCTGGCCTAAGCATTATCTCTTTGTAGTTCAGTCAGCCTAAGTGAGTGAGGAATTTGACTCCTAACCTACTCTGGGGCTGAGGACAGTTCTTACACAACTGTTCCTGGACAGCTGACTTAGAGGAATGGGCAAAAAGAGGATGTCCTGAAAAACTGCAGGTCCAGGTACGCACCCTCAGATGGAAGCCAAAATGCTCAGCCATGCAGAGCCCTCTCAGACTCAGGATGGCTTGCTTCAAGCCCCGGAATCTTCTCATTTCAACTTCATGTAGTTCCTTCTAAACTAAAGATGTCCTGCCTAGTTAGATAGCATGTGCACATTAGGGTGTGGCAGTTAGAATTTATGTCTCTTAATAGAATGGGCTATGTGACTAGGTTTCATGTCTACCCTATTGAAGGCAGGACTAGTGGGCACCATTGGATACTGTCTTAGGGTTTCTATTGCTTTGACAAAACAAAGAAAGTTGAGGAGGAAAGGGTTTCTTCAGCTTACACTTCCATATTGCCATTCATCACTAAAAGGTCAGCACAGGAACTCAAGCAGAGCAGGAACCTGGAGGTAGGAGCTGATGCAGAGGCCATGGAGGGGGGCTGCTTACTTCCTATGGCTTGCTCAGCCTGCTTTCTTACAGAACCCAGGATTACCAGCCCAGGGATAGAACCACCCACCATGGTCTAGTCCCTCTCCTATGGATCACTAATTGGGAAAATGCCTTACAGCTGGATCTCATGGAGACATTTCCTCAACTGAGGCTCCTTCCTCTCTAATGACTCTAGCTTGTGTCAAGTTGACACACAAAACTAGATACCTCTTGCTTGCCCCAGCTAAGTCAACTCCTATTCAGAGAACCCCCATGAATGCTTTGTCTTCAGCACAGGGGACTTTAGACATGATAATCTTTCCCTGCCAGGTGCAGGAGATGCGACTGAGGTTGCTTCCTTCTTGCTGTTGCCAGGAAACAGAGCTCTATAGAACCATTGTGGGACCTCTCATCTGGAGCTTTGCTATGATTTCAGTTAATGGAGGTCAACTAGCATTGCCGTGGCTTCATGATGGTCCTTAAAATAATTGTGAGGTCGATAGTAGCCTAACACTGTGTGGCAGGGCCTGTGGCATTCACTTCCATCTGGTGTAAGCAATTTGTCACCCCACATCATGAGGAGGAGGCTGGTACCAGGAGATACTCCGAGAGGGGCTGGAGCGGTAGCTCCGTGGTTAAGAGCACTTGCTGCACCCCATTCTCAATTCCCATCTTCACCATGTCCTTCCACCTTTCTAGTTGTTCATACTCATCTTTCCCGTCTCCCGTTACACACACACACACACACACACACACACACACACACACACACGCGCGCACACACACACCCGGAACCACTGCCAGAAAAGCTTGGTGCTGCATTCATAGCAGACAACTAGAGACTTCTTTGTTCTAACCCATAACACATCTGCCAGGCCCAGATGTGATCCCAGCTCTCCTTTGACAATGTTGTCATCCTCTGGCCTCCATGTTCCTAAAGAGTGGTTCCTGGACGTATGACTTGGTGCCTGTTCTTTAGCCACAGAGCGTGGACAAGAATATCAGTGAACAGTGCTCAAACTGCCTATGTGTATCCTTCAGGGACCTCCTGGGGCTCCAAGGATACTCTCCTGGACAGACAGCAGCTATAGGAGGCTGGGAAGCCTTAATGTGTGAGGAAGCAGGAAAAGCTAGGGGAGTCTCAGGCCACAAATATTACCCTACAGCACAGTATGAAATCATATAAAACTAGCCCTTATCCAGGGGTTCTGCACAAGAATTCAGCTAACCACAGGTTGTAAATATCTGGAGCAGGGAATATTTTTGGTTCTGAGAATGTACAGATTTTTTTTCTTATTATTAGTCTCAAGAATAACAACTATTCAGATCACATCTATGTTAGATATTAAATAATCTTGAGATGTTTAGAAGTGTTCCAGGAGATGTGTGTAAGTCATACGCAAATCTACACTGTTCTTAGAAGGGACTAGGGTATAAAGATCTGGGTATCCAAGAGGGTCCTAGAGCCAGCCTCCCACCAATTCAGAGGAACAATTGTGCTTGTTGAACAAGTTCATATCAGACATTTGCTGTCCCAAGGGTACTTTGGGAAACATCTGGGGAAGGGAGCAAATCCCTCTGATACAAAATGGAAAGCTCCAGAACCTCAAAAGGTCCCACCCAAGAACTTTCTCAGGGGTGCAGGCTAACTCCTGCTTGGGGTGGCCATCATGTGGTCCATTACTAAGTGATCAACACATTTTTAAATGAATAAGCAAGCTGTTCAGAGAGAAACACTCTCTGCTTTCAACCTATCATTGCCTGGCCCAAGCCACAATCAAAGAATCAGACATTTTGAAGACTGACACAGACAGCTAGTATACTTTGAATGCTCTTCCGAATAAATGCATTCTCAGATTTGCCAACCCCAAATGACTGTATCGATTACATAACAATTACCCAACACGAGACAAAAATGTAGAATTACATGCACCATTTATATGTAGAAATGCCTTACACATAGCAAGAACTCAATACATAAATAAATGGAAAAACGTAATGCTTCCAAGTGAAACAAATTGCAGCATAGGTCTGTGCTATTAAAAACCCACAGTAAGTGAATTGAGGTCATGAGAGAATTTGGGCCATTAACACAGGAGAGAGGCTAGGCTACCATTAAGGTATAACACTTTCAAGAGTGGGGTCTTGGTATGGCAGTGGATGCTCTTCTGGTTTTATCCTTTAATTCTGGATAAGTATTGCCTAGCCAACAGAAAGTAGCACCCGGGAAACCAACAGTATCAAGGACAGGAGCACATGGGGACAAGCAGAGTTGATCACAGTGACCTCTGTGAGAGGAGTGACACTGCTGCTCTAAGCAGCACAGATAGCTCTGCGGGCGTCAAGACACAGCCCTAATGGCCGACCCCTGCATCTGTTCCCCCAAAGGAAAACACCCTGGAAAACCTAAAAACAACCAACCGTTCTCATCACCAAGTAAAACCTGCACACTAGCCGCAAACCCCAGGTCAAAACCTTCACACCGCCCACAGTCAGCAGGTCTGTCACTGTCCCTTTTAATGCCACCACAGAGCCTCTTGGTGTATGGTCCGTTCCTTTCTTTGGCTGACTGCACTGTCATGCCAAGAGTATCACAGGAAAATATCCCAAGTCAGATATTGTAGCTAGAGACACGGGGAGTCACCTGCACCTATGTAACTGCTAAAAAGGAATAATCCCACACAGATACGATGGAGCGCACTCAACTAGGGAGGTGACCAGAAGGATGAAGAATGTCTTTGGAGAAACCAAAGTTAGACAGTATTACCAGGCCATATGTCTGTTGCCGGGGGTGAGAAAGCCTTGGGAAACAAGTTTTCAGTGCTGTCTTCTGTCAGCCTTGTGGGGCTTCAGGTCAGGACACCCTAAAAATCTCCTGTACTCCAAATGCCCTCCTTCATGTTTTCTGGAGGAGCAATCTAAACCCCACCCCCCGCCCCCCACCCCCCGCCAGGTAATCAGGACCAGTTGCCCTTGTAAGCACTGTAACTCCTCCCAAAACCCAAGGTGGCAAGAATGAATCTTGGATTCCACTTTAGTGGGATGTTTGCTGTGTCTCTTGCCATAAACACTCTCTGAGTCAACCTCTAAGCCAGCAGGGCACAAAGGCCAGGGGACAGGAAGCAAAAAGGGTGCTAATATGAGCCAGGCTGGTGGTGTCTTTAATATTGAAGGGAGAGACAGGAGGATCTCTTGAGTTTGAGGTCAGCCTCATCTACATTGAGAGTTCTAAGAGCTACACAAGAAAAGCCTGTCTTGAAAGTCAATGCTGCTGCTGCTACTACTACTACTACTATTACTACTAATAATAATAACAACAATTATTTTGATAATGAGTGGTACCATTCTCATTTCCACCTTGTGGTTTCAAAACCTGTGAATCCTGGCTTCAGGAAAAATCATATTTATTTGGACATTGATTCAGAGCCTATACAGCCTTCTACAGAGCCCTGCCCAATCTGCCCCCAGGCTATTGTCACCTTGTTGGCTTAGAAACTACATTATATAAAGGTCATTCCACTGTCCTGTCAGACCAGCTGCCACATGATGGTGAGAACATGATACAAGTAGTGAATTCCAGGAGCATGAGCTCACCGCTGTATTTATTTGGC